GGCACTAGGGGCACAGTACTCAGCCTGCAGCACCAAACCAAGTAAAACTCTATTTCAAACTCCAGGAGAGCATTAAAACCCATAAACCGAGCCCCAGCCAACAGATTGAACTAACCATCTGTACCTTCTTTCAATCCAATGCAGAGTGCCTCTGCTGGTGTCATCCACGACGCTGGTTTTTCTTTGTTACGTGCTCACAGGCAGAAGGAGACTGTGCTACAAACTCAAGGAGGAGATGTCCAAAAGGCTTGGTGAAGTTCCAAAATTACCAACTCTCACAGCTTGCAATCATGAAATCCTCTGACTTTTACTAAAATCTCGCCAATGCAGTATCCACTACTCTCCATTCTCTTTGAGGGGGATGAGGGCGGGGGGAAGGGCCCGCTGAATCAGATCAGTTCAGGCCACCATGGTCTTTGCCAGCCTCTGGTCTTGCCCCTGGTGCATCCCAGATGTCTCTCTGCACAGTGATTCTTTTCTATAATAATTGAAATCTGATCAAATCACCTCAAACTCCCCAAGGGTTTAAGTGCTTTCAGAAGCCCCTTATTGACTTTAAGATGCATTAGAAACTTCTTTGCAGACAAATGCAATCCTTCAAGATCCGGTTTGCCTCTCTCCCTATCTCTCCCCAAAGTAACCCAAACATCTGCAATTCCTGTAAGAGAACTTCCCCACTGGAAACAGCAATCATTTCCCTCCTGCTTCATGGTGCAGCCGCCATGTCATTAACTCATGGCAGCTTTCCCACTCTGAGTGCTATTAACGAGGTGCTTAGTGCTCCCCCGACTTTGGAAGTTCACAATGTATTCTACTTGATTGTTCACCTCCTACTGTTACGCCCAGACTTGGTGATCCCCAAGGACCACCAGGGAGCCGAGTCCAATGCAATAAACAAAAGAGCCTATTCCATGCTAGCATGGGCTCTTCCCACTCACGCCGGCAGCATGGCGGAAGAGAGAGCAAATTTCGCCCAGTCCAGGGGTTTTACTCTGGTCGGTGGTGATGTCACTGCCTCGGCTAACCCTGATTGGTTGGGTGAGGGCTAGGGATAACTCCGCCCTGTGGGGCGGAGTCGGGAGCTCATCCTCGCCCTGCCCTGCCCTCTCATTACTTCTCTATCTTTCCATCCCTTCTCCCAAGACTGTAGGTTCCTTGAGGTTAGGGATTCTCTTAGCACTGGTTATAACTCAGCATTTAGCACACTGGCAGGCGTATATTAAGTGTACAATAAATACTCATTGACTGGATGAATGAACAACTAAATTGTTAAGAATTGCCCAGCCGGTGTTGCTCAGTGGTTGAGCATTGGCCTGTGAACCAGAAGGTCATGGTTCCATTTCAGGTCAGGGCACGTGCCCAGGTTGCAGGCTCAATTCCCAGTTGGAGACAAGCAGGAGGCAGTTGAACAATAATTGATTCTCTCTCATCATTGATGTTTCTATTTCTTCTTCTCCCTTCCTCTCTGAAATCAATAAAAATATATTTAAAAAAAGAAGTAAACCTATTTGTAGCTCCCCATTGTTTTAATAATTAAGATTTCTGCACAATAAATATAATACAATTTTAAAAATTAAATTTATAAGCAACAAACTGAAGAAAAAATATGTATCAAATAAAGTTTAAAGAGTTTATTTAAACTTTATAGAAAAAAAATCACTAAGGCTTTAAAAGATAAACCAGCCTGGCCAGTGTGGTTCAGTGGTTGAGTGTCAGCCTATGAACTAGGAGGTCATGGTTCGATTCCTGATCAGGGTGCATGTCTGGGTTGCAGGTTTGATCATCAGTGAGGAAGGAGTGTGCAGGAGGTAGCCCATCAATGATTCTCTCTCATCAGTGATGTCTCTCTCTCCCTCTCTCTTCCTCTATGAAATCAATAAAAGTATAGTTTAAAAAAATAAAAGATAAACCATTCCCCTTAAGAGGAAATAATCTCAAAGGTTTTAATTCTTCTAGTCTAATCCAATACTAGCGAATACAAAATCAAGTGTGGGATCATGTCTGTCTTTTAACAATAGGCTCGATCTCTCTGTAAAATCAATGAGAATGGAGTAGGCGTGTGTAGAGAAAGGAGAAAGAAAGGTTAAGGGATGAAGAAGGCACAGGATAGATAACAGAAGGCTCTTCAGTCATCCTCAGGAATTTGGAAAAGGAACCACATAAAAAAAAATAGAACCTGAAAAATGACGTGATCATTTTGGCAGCTGTTTTAGCAAAATGATTCCATCAGCAATATAGAGGATATATTGGAGTGTGGAAAAATAAAGGCCAGAAGACCACTTAGGAGACTCTGGCAGTAATCATAGACTTGAAGTGCTTGTGTGTGCCAAGACAAGGAAAAGAGAAATTGATTTCCAGCTTTCTGGTTTGAGAACTTAGAAGTACAAAGACAAGGCAAGGGAGAGGCAGGCATGCCTAGTGATGACAAATTTGCCACTGGAGCTTTTCTTTGCTTCCAGATGTCACTTTTGAGCTGTGGGACTTTGGGAGAAATCCCTTAATTTCTCTGTACCTCAACTTCATCATTTATAGAATAGAAATAATAGTATTATCTCTTTTTACAGTTATCCTAAGGGTTAATTAAAGAAATGCATCTGATTGAAAAGTACTGAAATAGTGTCTTGAATTTAGTAAGCTTTTTATTTATTTTTTAAATATATATTTTTTATTGATTTCAGAGAGGAAAAGAAAGGGAGAGAGAGATAGAAACATCAATGATGAGAGAGCATCATTGATCAGCTGTCTCCTGCATGCCCCCTACTAGGGATCGAGCCTGCAACTCCAGCATGTGCCCTGATAGGGAATCCAACTGTGACCTCCTGGTTCATATAAGTCCATCCTCAACCAGTGAGCTACGTCAACCGGGCCAGTTAGCACATTCTTTACACAGGTTGCAGTACAATTGACTGGGTGATATGCTTTTGGTTAAATTTATTGAGGTGACATTAGTTAATCAAATTATATAGGATTTGGGTGTACAGTTCTAGAATGCATCTTCTGTATATTGTACTGTGTGTTCACCACCCTAAGTCAAGAGACTGGGTGATATTCTCATCCTGAGAATTTTCTGATGACCATAATTACATTCTATCCTTTGTATCTTCTTGATTATCCAATTAATTACAAATCACTTTCAGGGATACATGATCATATAATCAAACCTAACGAATGTTGAATAAATGCCTTGTGTATGTAATAACACTTGATCCTGTCCTAGAACTGCAAATCTGCTTTAATTAATATTTAAAATTCCTAACTTTATTTCTGGATCAAAAAAATAGAGAATTTTGAGACGGTCCCTAACGAGGCATGTCGTTTTGGGATTCTAAAACTTATTCCACACTCCCTTAATCTTTCCTCTTCCTTCCTCCCCTTTTCAAATCTCGTTTCTTTGGGTTGGAATCTCGCGAGATATTGAGTTCTCATGAAATCTCCCAAGAGCCTCCGCTCTTCCTCTTCCCCCAAAGCGGCCCTAGGTGAGTTGCTCTTCGGCGTCTCTCTCCGAGAGTTGAATCCTCCGGTTATCACCGCCATCCTGGCCTTGGGGGCGCCAATCTTGAGGCCCCTGAGAAGAGAACTCTTGCGGTTACTGATTTCTCGCTGAAGGCAGTGTCCCCCTGTGCGCGGGGAAGTGTCGGAGCGCCCGACTTGGCGCCCGGGCAGTGCGGCCCATGCGGCCCGAAAAGGGGTGCAATGGGAGGGGTTGGGGGCTTTGGGAGCCCGGGTAGCCCGTGGTCGGTGCCGCCTCTTACTCCGGAGGTCCAGTGTCTGGCGGTGAGTGAGGGCCGAGTACGCGGCGCGTTTGTGGTCTCGGTGAGAAAATTGGCGGGGGAGGAATAGAGTCGGTTGGAGGCTTTCCTCACTTTAGTCTTTCAAACCGTCTGCGTGTCTCGTTGACGACAGCACGGAAGCGTGGGAAGGTGTAGCATCCCTTACGGAGTTGTGTGGGTGAAGAGGGTTTCTGCGGAGCGGGAGCACGCCGATGGTGGCGGCTGAGGCCTGCCACCCCCGTGCGCCGTGTCCTTACGCCCGAGGGAGCTCTGGTTGCCCTGAAACAGGCTTATTGCCACCCAGAGAGGAATGGGGCTGGCGAAGGCCGTGCGCCCGGTCTGGTGCCAGCACTGCTGCCGGCAGCCACTGGCGGTCAGAGGGAAAGAGCGTGGCTGCGATGATGGCACTTCTTAGGACACCTTTGGATTCATCGTGAAAACAACTGTTCTCTGAGCAGCTGCTGGTAGCACTTGGTGCAGATTTAGGCTGTAAGGGACTGTGCAACCACGTCCTGACAGAATTGCTCCGTCCTCCCTCCCAGGTGACCTCCGAAGATGGTTCGCTATTCGCTAGACCCAGAGAACCCCACAAAATGTGAGTGAACAACACTTAATGCATTTCTTATTGGGGGTAAGGGAAGAGATACTCGAAGTTGTTAACCACTGTGTCCTCTGTTTTTTAGCATGCAAATCGAGAGGGTCCAATCTCCGCGTTCACTTCAAGGTATGTGAACCTGTTAACGCTCTGAAAGTCGTTGTGGGTGCTCCTTTTCTTTGACACTATGTGCCGAAAGGGCAGCTGCAGTGATGTCTTTCTTAGGACACCTTTGGATTTACCATGAAAACTAATCAGTTCTGAGCAGCCACCTTCTAGGTATCGGTCATGAGTGTGTCGTGACTGTTTTGATGTTGACATTTTGAGAATTCGAGAACTTCATGCTTGCTTTAAAAGTTGTGATGCCTTAACATGGCTAACTCCCGGTGTGTTTTCTATTTAGAACACGCGTGAAACTGCCCAGGCCATCAAGGGCATGCATATTCGGAAAGCCACCAAGTATCTGAAGGACGTCACCTTAAAGAAGCAGTGCGTGCCTTTCCGTCGTTACAATGGTGGCGTTGGTAGGTGCGCCCAGGTGAGAATTGATGGTTGCTATTTGAAAAGACAGATTGTAAGGGAAAGTGACTGGGTGGGATTAAAATGGCTAAGATCTTTAATCAGGCTGTTACCGGTTGCTGTGATGACAGTCTTAGGACACCTTTGGATTAACTGTGAAAAGAATCATGTTCTGAGCAACCTCGAAGTGAATTAAATAAATTGTGTTTTTTGTTTGTAATTTTAAGAGTACGTTTACTGAAGCAGGGAGCAGTGAAACAGGAATGGCTTAGGGCAGCAGCAGCAGGAGAGACGAGGTGGTGCTGCTTTGGCTCCCTAGAAATGTCATGGGAAAGGAGTGAGCCAGGGCAGCACTGAGGTCCCGTTCACTGGAGAGACGCAAAATGGGGCCTTGGAGACAGGTTTAGGGGTTTGGCCCAGGACAAGCTGCTGCCTATTGCTTCCCTGGTTGCAAGTCTCTGTGGGGTCCCTTAGAGTTTAGGAGATGCTTGCCACAGTTTATTTAAATTGGGAACTAATAGCCTATCTTTGTTTTCTTTAGGCAAAACAGTGGGGCTGGACACAAGGTCGGTGGCCCAAAAAGAGTGCTGAATTTTTGCTGCACATGCTGAAAAATGCCGAGAGCAATGCTGAACTTAAGGTACCCAAAGCATTAATATCTATATGTATCCAGCTTGGATGGTGGTTCAGTTGTTCAGATTTATACACACAATAAGACACTATTGCAAAGAGACAAATGTAGTTATCGAAGTGGTTGCTTTAGTAATGGTTAATGTGGTTTATTGCCAACACTTTAAAAAATATATATATTAAAAGGGAGAGAAACATAAATGATGAGGAAGAATTATTGATTATCTGTCTCCTGCATGACCTACATTGGGGATTGAGCCTGCAACCTGGGCATATGCCCTGACCTGGAATGGAACCGTGACCTCTTGGTTCATAGGTTGATCCTCAACCACTGAACCACTCTGGCCAGGCTATTGCCTACATTTTTTTTTCTTTTTTATTGGAAGGATTACAAATAGTACTGCATATGTCTCCTTTTTTCCCCCCTTGACCTCCCCCCCAGCCTTCCCTCCCCCATGACTTGTATCCAGTGATTATGCTTATATGCATGCATACAAGTCCTTCGATTGATCTTTTACAGTCCCCCCTCCACCTCCCTTGCCTTCCTGCTATAGTTTAACAGTCTGTTCAATGGTTTTTTATCTCTATAACTATTTTTTCCCCATTTCTTTTCTCTGAGAAATCTTGCAACTGCAGACTAGAAATAAATGTATAATAACAAAAAATGTTTGAGTCCCAATTTCAGTGTCCAACAGTTCTGAGACTCGTGCTGGCATGTACATATAGTTCCTTATATGTACATGCCAGCAATATCTGGATGATGGACAGATGGTTATTGCCTACATTTTTTAAAATATATTTTTATTGATTTTGTACAGAGAGGAAGGGAGAGAGAGATAGAGAGCTAGAAACATCGATGAGAGAGTCATCGATCAGCTGCCTCTTGCACAGCCCCTACCGGGGATATGCCTGCAACCAAGGTACATGCCCTTGACCGGAATCGAACCCGGGACCTCTCAGTCCCCAAGCTGATGCTCTGTCCATTGAGCCGAACTGGTTTCAGCTGTTGCCTACATTTTTAATGGAGAGATATTAAGTTACATTTAGAAGTTAAAAAACAGTGTGGTCAACAAAATAGGTTTGTCCATTCCCTTTTCCATTTGGAAATCTGGGCCAGAATTAAAAATGGGTCTCAGGCTATAATTCCCTTTTATTTATATCTATAATAATAAGCATAATATGCTAATTAGACCAAACATCCATCCTTCTGGACAAAGCTGCAGAGGCTGAGGCCCTTGCTCTAATTTCATGCACCAGGCCTCTAGTGTGTGCGTGTGGGGGTGTGGGGGTGTGTGTGTATATATATGTATATGTATATATATATTTTTTCCAGCCTGGCCTGCTGGGATCAAACAGAAATTGGCACTCTGACACACATACACACACACACACACCTCTTCCCTCAGGGGTCCCAGAGTGTGGTTGGGCTCCAGAGGCAGTTCCTGCTTTGAGTGCCTGCCCCTTGGTGATCAGTGCTTGTCAGCTACCGGCTACTCTTTGATGGCTTAGCCTTTTATTTACATACTTCTTTAGAGAGAGAAGGGAATGGGAGAGAGGAACATCAATGTAAGTGGAACATGGATCCCCTGTTGCCTCTTGTGCACAACCTTTACCTGGGATTGAGCCCAAAACTCGGGCATGTGCCTGGAACACAAATTAAACTGGCAACTTATTGGTGCACATCACAATACCCAACCAAATAAACCACACCAGCCAGGGCTGGTTATGTGATCCTTGTAGCTGCTAAGCCATGCTGCCAAAGTTGATCTTCAACATCACTTAGCATAGCAGCATAGCGCTGAGTTTCTGTAGTTAGGTTTAATTTAAGGAACGCCATTTAGAACCAAGTTTAAAGTAATTGCCTGAACTGATACTTGGCTTCAACTCTTAAGGATTGCTTTTCAAAATGAGTTCATTAAGGCAGGAACTTAATTTCCAAAGATGGTGTACAATAAAGGAATAAAGGTTTACCTGATTATGTTCCTTCTCCCTTCCCAGGGTTTAGATGTAGACTCTCTGGTCATCGAGCACATTCAGGTGAACAAAGCGCCCAAGATGCGGCGTAGAACCTACAGGGCTCACGGGCGTATTAACCCCTACATGAGCTCTCCCTGCCACATTGAGATGATCCTCACTGAGAAGGAGCAGATCGTTCCCAAGCCAGAAGAGGAGGTGGCACAGAAGAAGAAGGTGACTGCTCAGTCTCCGCTCAGTTTCAGTTGTGTGTACTACATGTGCGGTTGCTGTGATGACTCACTTAGGACACCTTTGGAATAACCGTGAAAGGAAACTGTTCTGAGCAACCAGCAACCTTGTATTTTATTTTTACTTTCATGGATCTCATTTATTTCTTGATTGATACTGAATAGTAACTTTGTACTATTCAGTACATCAGAACTGTGATTGTCTACTGATAGTCCCACCTACTTGTCCATTGCCACTTCCAAAAATGCCCCTCAGATCTAATAAGCCTATATTTGGTAAATGATGACAAGTCAGTGTTGCTTTTGAGAATTGACTCCTACCGTTGTCAAGTTTAAGGTGTGCCGCATGATGGCTTGATTTAAGTATACTGTGAAATGATTATCACAGTGGGTTCTTAGAGATACAATAAAAATAGGGGAAGGATATGATAACTCTTACGATTTCTTTTCCTATCCACTTTCCTGTGTATCATACAGCATTGTTAGCTAGTCTATCCGTTCAGTTGGGTAGGCCAGAAAACTTCACACCTAATAGATTTTTTGTATTGATATTGTCACTTAAATATCCTGTCATTGGAATCCTTAGCAGCTGGTGTTACTGTCTTCAGTGGAAATCAATTTAAACTCATTCTCTGATTAGTCATACCACATCTCTATGCCAAAGGACACTTTCATTTTTAAAAATATATTTTTATTGATTTCAGAGAGGAAGGAAGAGGGAGAAAGATAGAAACATCAATGAAAATCATTGATTCGCTACCTCTTACACAACCCCCAACTGGGGATTGAGCTTGCAATCAGAGCATGTGCCCTTTACCAGAATCAAACCTGGGACCCTTCAATCCACAGGCCAACAATCTGTCCACTGAGCCACATCAGCTAGAGCCCTTTTACGTTGATGTTTCCAGTTCTTTCACTGAAGTGAAGACCTCTTTTTTTCTTTTCTTTTTTTTTTTATTTTTAATATATTTTATTGATTTTGTACAGAGAGGAAGGGAGAGAGATAGAAAGAAACATCGATGAGAGTCATCGATCAGCTGCCTCTTGCACACCCCCTACTGGGGATATGCCCGCAACCAAGGTACATGCCCTTGACCGGAATCGAACCCGGGACCTTTCAGTCCCCAAGCCGACGCTCCATCCATTGAGCCAAACCGGTCCTGGCTGAAGACCTCTTTTTAAGTGTGGATGTTTCTTCAGGAAGTTTAACGGTCATTTTTATTTTCTTTCCCCAGATATCTCAGAAGAAACTGAAGAAACAAAAACTTATGGCCCGGGAGTAAATTCAGCACAAAATAAATTAAATTAAAAAAAAGAATGTTGGTTGTTTTTATTTCTAAATATGTTTCAAGTGATGAAACAAGTTTTCTGATTAGAATTTAAAAATAGATTGTTCTGTCATTAATTTGGATCATAAACATGCTATTTTGAATGTCTTGCTGCTTTTTTGCGCAAGATGGGATTAAAATGAGTTGTGAAATTTTTTATAGCCATTTTATTGAGATTTAACATTGCAGATCACAGTGCAATTGATCTTGGTATACTGTTATGAATCTATCGCTAAAATCAATTTTGGGGCATTTTAATTGCCCCAGAGAGGAACCTTGGCAGTGGTTAGCTGTTACTCCCAGCCCTAGGAAACTACTTAGCTGTAGATAGGCCTGTTGACATCTCAAGAAACATCATAGTATGTGACCCACTGGCTATGGTTTTGTACAGTATTTTTGAGGTTCATCCATGTATAGTACTGGATGTATTTGTATCAATATATTGAACATTTGGGTCTTTTAAAGTATTACAAGTAGTGCTGTGCACCTTTGCAGGATTTTTGATGGGCATGTTCTCATTTCTCTTGGGTGTAAGTCATGAGTAATTGCTGAATCATGGTAACAGCCAGACTTTCCATGTATGCCAGTTACAACGCCCCTAGCAGAGGGTTTGATTTTCCCCACGTCGTCAACACGGATAGTTGCTTTGGGAGTGGTGGTATAGCCGTTTCTCCGTATTGACTTCACTCACCCTGCCCTTATAACTACAAGAGAGGGTGATTGAAGGCACAGCTGCATTTGAAAACAGTAACCTTGCCTGCGTTGGTGAGCCATTGGTACAGGCGATCTGAGTGCCTGGGGAACTAGTCCAGGCCCGGGCGCCGGGGCCCCGCCCGGCAGCGCCGGCGCGCCGGGTGTGTCGTCAGGCTGACGCAGGCGCGTGTTTGTTGGCCCCTTTCGCGGTGTCCATTGGCCCGGCTGCGGCAGGTCCCTCCCTCCGGAAGTGCGGACATTTCCGCTTGTGCTCGGTGGTCGCGGGTGAGTAGGGTCGAGTGGCCTGGGGCTTTGGGCCGGGCGTTTGGGGCGGGGATGGGCTGTGGCCGGGGCGCCGGCGGGCTGCTCCGCGGGCGTGGGCCGGGGGCGCGGACGGAGCCCAGCCGGGCGCGGCTCCGGCCCGGCCCGCGGACCCTGCGCTGCCCGACGGCCCCCCTTCCCCTGCGGCGCCCCTGTGGCCGGCTGCCCTCCTCTGCCCCCCCCCCCCCCCCCCGGGGCGCCCTCCCGCCCGGCCCCGCCTGCCTTTCCCTCTGTGTCCGTTTATCCGCCCCCTTGGCCTGAATTGTCGGGTTCTTGGCGCTTCTGTTATCGTCACCACCACTCGCCCTCCTTCCCTCCCATCCTCACTCCTTGTTTTCCCTCTTTGTCTCCAACAAGAGGACGTTCCTTACGGAACCCGGTAACCTACGGGCGTGGCCTTCCCCATCCGCCTTCCCCGTCCACCTGCCCAATTCTGACAGCCTCAGCCTTTCCTCTCCAGCCTATTGTGCTGCACTAAGTCGAATATAAACATTTCTCTCCTACAACAGCTTTAACCCATTTTGCTTCCTTTGTGGTAGTACCCGAGAATTGATGTGTGGAAAAGTAAAATTGTAATTGTATCAGTTTATCGTAGCGACCTTTCTAAGCCACACTGTCCGCACTGTTGTTAAGTATAACAACTCATCGAAGAATCGTGACGGTTAAGAGCTGCAATACAGTAGCTTCATTCTGAAGAGAGCTAAAAAGTTTTATAAAAGCCCTAAGGATGACAAAACTGATGAGCAGTATTGGTTCTCCGGAGTTTATTTAAAACACAGTGCGCAAGTACTTTCTTAAAACACAATGACAAGTAGGTAAAAATGAACCTTTGTGATGGAGGGACTGCCAGTCACCGGCCTGCCAGGCCTAGTGCTCTGAGCATTGCCAGGTGTTGGAAGGATTTCGCTGGTTTTGAAGGTTTGGTAGGATAGTCATTAACATAATCATTGTGTTCTGGGAAGGGATAGAGACAAGAATCTTGAGCTAGGAAACCGGACCTGGGCCTTCTGGTCTTAGCCAGCTCTAGTTACTTGTTACCTTTGTGTGAACTTTGGACAGGTCACCATTTTTGGCTTTTTTGTTTGTTTGTTTTTTCCAGGAACTGTTTCATGGCACTTACTATATGCAGACACACTTCTGAGCTTTGTATGCATATTAATTTATCTAATCCCCAGTGAGGTAGATATTATTGTCTACATTTTACACTCCAGGGAATTCAGGCACAGACTGGGGGAAGTAGTTTGCCCACGAACATCATATAGCAAGCGGGGGAAACATCTCAAATCCAGGCAGCTGCCAGCCAGTCAGCTCGGTGATGCTATGGTGCCTGTGAGAGTGTTCAGTACTTTACCCAGACCACCTTTTCAGCATCCCAGATCACATTCTGCATTTATGGACAAAAATAATGACTCCTTGAAAAACAGTGAAAAAGACTCACCACTTGTTTAGCTTTAAAACATTTTGGTAAATTATTAAGTTGTTACTGTAATTTGACTAGGGGACCTTTAAAAAAAAAATGGTTATGAATCCTTTGTAAAATAGCTCTTCCTTTATTGACGTACATCCGGATTTTTGTTTGTAGCTCTTATTATATAATTCATTTCAAAGTCATGGGGATTGAATTTTCTGTGCCTGTGCCATTGTTCACTTGTATTGTGAATAATTTTAAATTGCCTTAGTGTAGTCAGAATGAAATTTTAACATCCTGAATTACTAGCCTTATGCAGTGTTCTGATGCTTCTCAGTTGTTGGTTTTTAAAAAATATACGTTTTTATTGATTTTAAGAGGGGGAGAGAGGAACAGCAATTAGAGAACCATCCATCGACTGCCTCCTGCACGCTCCCTACTGGGGATGGAGCCCACAACCCAGGCACATGGCCTGACTGGGAATCAAACCCGCAACTTCTTGGCGCTGTTCAACCAACTGAGCAACACCAGCCAGGGCAAAGCATCTTAATTTTTAAGGCTTACTCTAAGGTAGGGGTGTCGAACTCAAACAGAGAAGGGGCCAAAATCTAAAATCCAGCCTAAATCGTGGGCCGAATGGTTTACTGAACAGTCATAAACTGTCATTGTGATGGAAACGCAGCGGAGTGCAGTGATGACAGCGCTGTGCGGCCACATTGCAAGGCCTGGCGGGACGGATTTGGCCCGAGGGCCTTGTGTTTGACACATGTGCTCTAAGGGATTAAAAATTCTTGTAAATGTAAGAAGTCTTTGGTTTATTAGTATTTTGTGGAAGTAGTATTTGTTCTTTTTCAATAAATTGCTGATTTTGAGACATTCTAAGGTGATTTCTAATTATCAAGGAAATTAGATGTGTTAAAATTTTTAAGTAAACAATTTCCTTATACTAATAATAAACAACTTAGTTATAATGATAAATAAATAAACAAATAAATAGTTTTATTATACAGTACACCTTTTTTTTTAATTTATTGATTTTTATACAAAGAAGGGAGAGAGAGAGAGAGAGTTAGAAACATCGATGAGAAAGAATCATCGATCAGCTGCCTCTTGCACAACCCCTACTGGGGATGTGCCCGCAACCAAGGTACATGCCCTTGACTTGAATCGAACCTGGGGCCCTTCAGTCCCCAAGCCGACACTCTATCCATTGAGCCAAACCGGTCCAATACGGTACACCTTAATTGCCATAAACAGAAAAAGCAGCCGAAACCAGTTTGGCTTGATAGATGGAGCATCGGCCTATGGACTGAAGGATCCCAGGTTCAATTCCTGTCAAGAGCACATGCCTGGGTTGTGGGCACATCCCCGGGATGTGTGTGTGTGTGTGTGTGCAGGAGGTGGCTGATCGATATTTCTCTCTCACCGATGTTTCTCATTATCTCCCTCTCTGTAAAAAAAAAAAAAAAAAAAATCAATAAAATATATTTTAAAAAAAGAAAAAAGAAAAAGCAGTTATATCAAGGGAGAATTATTGCCTGGAAAAGGCCAACCAATTTGCAGCTTAGGGGTCTTCCAAAGTGATATCTTAGAGAGTTTCGTATTATACTATTTGCCCTTAGCATTGTAGGTTTGACTGATTAAGTCATAATTACCAAGTTCCTTAATGTTTTGTGCTTTCCTTTGCTGTATGTGTAAATTAAGATGCAAAGGTAGCCGAAACCGGTTTGGCTCAGTGGTAGAGCGTCGGTCTGAGGACTGAAAGGTCCCGGGTTCGATTCCAGCATGCACTTTGGTTGCGGGCACGACCCCGGTAGGGGGTGTGCAGGAGGCAGCTGGTCGATGTTTCTCTCTCATCGACGTTTCTAGCTCTCTCTCCCTCTCCCTTCCTCTGTAAAAAATCAATAAAATACATTAAAAAAAAAAAAAAGATGCAAAGGTACCCAACCTCACTGGGTTTTGAATAAATGAGTTATACAGTTGTCCTTCAGTATCCTCAAGGTATTGGTTCCAGGACACCCTTCCATCCCCCCACCCCCATACCAAAATTCCTGGGTGCACAAACCCCCCATATAAAAGGTGTAGGGTTTAAGAACAGGCTTCAGTAGGCCTACACACACTTCATTTGCATTGATTTCACGAGGTGCTCTGTGCATAACAAATTCAGGTTTTGCTTTTTGGAATTTTCTGAGATTTTCTTTTCAAACGTTTTCGATTTGGGGTTGATTGACTCCATGATGCAAAACCTGGGGATACAGAGGGCCAACTGTATATGCAAAGCATTAAACTGCGTAGCACCTAGCAAATGTTGGCGTCTTTATCGTTAAATTTATGGTTGGGGAGCAGTGATTGGAGAGATTTGGAAGCGGGAACGTCGCTGTTATTTTCATGCCTACCACCTGCTATTCCGTTACCTTGCAAATAGCAGTATCTTTAATAGGTCCTTGCATTTAGCTAATAGTAGGATCTAAGTTGTTCCTTCAGTGTAGAAATAATCCTTTCGAACATCCCAATCTAGCTAAACTCCGTTAGTCATTAATCTATGAGGAACTGATTCGTTTTTTCTGTGCGTCTGTCAGTTCAGGAGCTCCCACCTGGGAAGATGGTGTGCATTCCTTGTATCGTCATTCCAGTGCTGCTCTGGATCTACAAAAAGTTCCTGGAGCCATACATATACCCTCTGATTTCCCCCTTTGTCAGTCGCATATGGCCTCGAAAAGCTGTGCAAGAATCCAATGATGCAAGCAAAGGCAAAATAGACTATAAGGTGAGAACATGGAAATACCTTGAATAGGAAGGCTGGGTGTAGGGTGGTACTGTCTGGGTAAACTTATTTGGCTTTTGAAAGGCAAGTTCTTGGAACCAGAAGCTTCATCAATGTGTCTTAATTTCCCTCTTTTTTAAATGGGGGGGTGGGGGAGGTAGGAGAGGTAGGAGGAGGGTTGACTTTCCTCGGAGCCTTTCCCACCCCCTCTTTTTCCTCCCCGGGTGAGTTACCTGTGTCTTTCTCTCTTCCAAGCTCCAAGGGCTCGTTTCTGGAGCCTGTGCCGCCCAGCCGGCTCATTTCTGCTACCTTTATAACTTTAAATAAACTTTCTCTTACAGTTTAGAAGAAGAAGAAGAAGAAAAAAAAGGAATTTGGGTGTTTTGTTTTTTTTAAGAAATTAACAGCCGGGACCGGTTTGGCTCAGTGGATAGAGCGTCGGCCTGCGGACTGAAGGGTCCCGGGTTCGATTCCGGGCAAGGGCATGTGCCTTGGTTGCGGGCACATCCCCAGTGGGGGGTGTGCAGGAGGCAGCTGATCGATGATTCTCTCTCATCGATGTTTCTAACTCTCTCTCTCTTCCTCTCTGTGAAAAATCAATAAAATATATATTAAAAAAAAAAAAAAAGAAAGAAATTAACAGTTGGTGCTGGGACCGGCTTGGCTCAATGGATAGAGCGTCGGCTTGGGGACCTGGGTCCTGGGTTCGATTCCGGTCAGGGGCATGTACCTTGGTTGCGGGCATATCCCCAGTAGGGGGTGTGCAAGGGGCAGCTGATCGATGACTCTCTCTCATCGATATTTCTAACTCTCTCTCCCCCTTCCTCTCTGTACAAAATCAATAAAATATATTAAAAAAAAAAAAAAAAGAAATTAACAGTTGGTAAAGTTTTAAACTAGGCCTCTGATTAATGCAATTGCTCCTTGCCAGTGGCCAAGATAATAGCCAGTATTTCCTGGCTGGTGAGAGTAATGGGAAACAGCTCATTGGTGCAAAGAGATGACATGAAAAAAAGCCAATGTCACTGGTTGATAATTTTGGTGGGAGAGCCGATGATTCTCTCTCATCGACATTTCTAGCTCTCTATCTCTCTCCCTTCCTGTCTGTAAAAAATCAATAAAATATATTTTAAAAAATTTGGTGGGAGATTTAATTTAGGAGGATCATAGAAGTTATTTATTTATTTATTTATTTATTTAAAATGTATTTTTATTGATTTCTGAGAGAAAGGCAGAGGGAGAGAGAGAAACATCCACGAGGAGAGAGAATCATGGACGGGCTGCCTTCTGCACGCCCCCTATGGTTGAGGATGGATCCCACACCCCGGACATGTGCCCTTGACCAGGAATCGAACCCGTGACTTCTTGGTTCCTATGTCAATGCTCAACCATTGAGCCACACTGGTTGGACTTTTTAAAAAATATATATATTTTATTGATTTTTACAGAGAGGAAGAGAGAGGGATAGAGAATTAGAAACATTGATGAGAGAGAATCATCGATCAGCTGCCTCTTGCACAACCCTACTGGGAATGTGCCCACAACCAAGGTATTATATATGCCCTTGACCGGAATCGAACCGGGACCTTTCATTCCGCAGGCCGGTGCTCTATCCATTGAGCCAAACCAGTTAGGGCCGTTTTTTATTCTTTTTATAAAATGAAGTTATTTTTTAAAAATGACTATTTAGAGACAACATGTTGTTTTTAGCAATGGTGCTTGTCACGTTCAACTTTGATTGTGTTCAACTGCACTAAAGCCATCCTGAATAATTCTAGAAGCAGAGTTTTTTTCATCCTGAAGTTCGTTGACTGTTTCAAAGAGAGTTTTTCTTATGATGAGTGTCTTATAATAATCTCTAAAATGGTTTTTCATTTTAGGGGGCAGACATAAATGGATTTCCAACACAAGGATCGACAGAAATCTCTGATAAAAAGAAAGACTGAAGGCACTGACCCAGGGACCTCCTTGTTTTCAAAATGGACCTGATAATGTGAAGCACCTTCTTTGTAATTGTCTCTGACCTTTTTCTCTTAGACCACAACTCGGGGTGGATGGTGTAGGTGTTTGCCTGATACTGATCAGGAAATACATGGTATTTATATTTAGAATGTATTTAGTTATAATTAATGATCTCGTTCCCACGTTCCTTTTTCATTTACTTAGCTTTAATAGTATGAATAAATAGGAGGATTGCGCCAGTAGGCTTTGTTACTAAATCAGTACCTAAACATCCTTGGGCTTCTAGCTTCTGTTCAGGCTCTTTGAATTTGAGTGGAGTGTATTTTCACTATGAAACAGTACAGTGAGACTGTGCAGGAAAGTGAAAGGGAGTGTTTGGAGGTGATAATGACTTGAAACATAAAGTTGTAATTACTGCCCAACACAGTGGAGTCCCTTATCTGCGAGAGTAGAAAGTACAGCTCTGAAGAAGATGGCAAAGATAAGAAATTGAGGAAATCTCTTTGGGGAAAAATGGAACAATTTTTACATAAATGTCTAATGTATATTATAAAATTCTAATTTTTGTTGCATTCCTTCTATTCCTACAGAATATATTAAACATTCAGTTTAGCTTGTGGTTGGGAGTTGGCTTTTTTTCCCCCCCCCTTTTTTTTAAAGTTTAAATATTTCTTAAAAGGGGCATTTTTCACCATATCAGAAAGCAGAATTATAATAGCGTGCTGGCATCTGGACAGTTCTGAGACAACAATATGTTATTTATTTTTTAATGTAGATTGTATCGGTTATTTATTGTTGCATAACAAGACACTCCAAAACGTAGTGGTCTTCAACAACAGTGACATGACTGGACAGTTCTTTGCTGGTCTGGGCCTCTATATGGTCTTTCACCCCTGGGCTGCTTCACTTTAGGGACAGAAGGTGATGAACCATACTTACTTTATATCCTATTTCCTTATTCCCTCTGAGGCAGGGAATGATTGGAAGAGTCTTCTGCCTTTAAGTCCCCAATGAAGTCCTGGGTCCTAACCAAGGCTCCGGTGAACTGTATGTGTGAGCAAGTCAGTGACTCACCCTGGTCTCCATTTGATAGAAATCAGTAGGTTTCAAGTGTTCTGCCCCAACCCACCTGAGGGATAAGATACATTCCCTTTAGCAACTAAATTCAGTTGATTTGTTTGTTGTTTAAAGTATAAACACGATATTACACAAATAGCAGGTGTTCATAGTAAAACAGTGCCCTGGGAAGTTAAATGAAAAGCTCATGTTCTTTTACTCCTTATTCCCTCTCCACAAATGTAACCACCGTTAGTTCTTTTGTGTAGCCGCCTAGCAACTTCCTTAAGGTTCCTTTGTTTTTATTAAATATATCTTTTTTTAAATTATAACATTGCAAAGTGTATACTGTCTCTACTCCCTTAGTGCCCAAAGGCTTTACTCATTTAGCTGTTGCTTTTTGTCTTATGTTTTATCTCTATACTTCTAAATGTTATTTATATATATATATACATATATATATACATATACATATATATCGCCAGTTTTGGAACTGTCAGCTTTCCCCATTACTGACTTCCTTCCAAGGCTGACTTATAACTACCTCTGCTCTCCCACACATCGTCCATGTAGGTTTTTGTAAATATTGGTTAAGTCATTGATCTGTATTTATATCATGATGAGTATGCCACATGCCTTCCACTTGCCTCTCCAAATCCCTGCTCCTTTCACCTATTTTGCTGCCCTAGAAAGCTGCCTGGATTCCCAACAACAGACTTTCCATGGCCTCTGCGTTCTGTTGGGTCTGGTCAGCTGGGATCTGCAGTAGGGACGGGAAGGAGGGAGAGAAGGGAGGAGTGGGGTTAGAGTATTTATTCCCTCGGTTCAGCCTTCTGGGTCTCCAGACCAGGTGTGCTCCTCAGCCAAAATGCGCTTCAAGGAGGTAGCCCGCTCCCACATGTCTCCCTTCAGCCTCCACTAGCCTCTCTCCCTCCTTGCCCTGTTGGGCCCAGCACTCACTGCTGACTCTGGGTCACTGCTTTCCTTCAAGCCCCCACCCTTCTTGCCTGTGATTAATATTATAGTTTTATGTGTTACATGTGTTTGCAAGTCACCCTAACTACTTTTAGAAAGAAGGGTATAAACAAACCATCAAATGAATACTTAGCCCCTGCGCTTTCCCTTTTACTGCATCATCTCTGAACTGAACTTTTGGAATACAAGCAAGCTCTTAGTGGCCTGTCCTACATACTGAATTTACAGTCATCGAATATCTTCTAGGATCCTTTTCATATGAACTGTGTACTACTTTTGTTTGTTTGCTTTTTAGTTTCCAGTCTACAGCATTTCAAATTAAGTGTTCTTATTTTTTGAATGTTTTTATACAAAATTCATATGATATAAGAGTGTACACAGATAAAGATTCCTTCCTCTCACCCTGGTGCCCAAGCACCTAGTTCGCCTCCTAGGAGGCAATCAAGGTTACTGGTTTCTTCTTTTTTCTCATTTTTTATTTTAAGTTTCTCTTTCTTTCTTTAGTTGCCTTTATGTACAGGCATCATTTTAAAAATGCATGCACACTGGATATTTTCCAAAGAATAGGAGCTGGAAATAAAAGTTCAGGGCCGTCAGGAGAACTGAAATTGTCCCAGAGAAGTTCTGAGGAGCACACTCCCTTAAATGTCCTTGATGACCTTTCAAGTTTTTCCTTTGTGAACATGGGGAAAGTCTGGCCAGGCTGCACAGCGGCTAGTTCTATGTAATTGCATTCTGCTGCTTCACCATTGCTTGTATGAGGATAATGAGTGAAGACTTGATGGCTTCTTCCAGAATCGTAGACTTGTAAACTTGCAAGGAGCTCCGGGTACCCTTTGAACCAGAGCCAATTGCTCAAGATCACTCTGTCAAGTCCCTGATGGGCCCTATGAAACAGCCGAGGTCCTTTCTCATCAATACCTCCCAACAATAGTGCTACTTACTCCAAAGGGACAAGACATGGCACCCAAATCTGCATCTTCTCCAAACAGTTGAGCCGGATCGGACACAGCCTGGGTCACACACTCCACCGTCATTGTCTACTTGTAGGTGAATTCATGGTTTTGTGTCTCCACTCTGGGCTTTATCAGTTAAAGCCTTAGCATCAACAGTTAGCCCATTCATGGCACAACCTATGTGAGCATCAAGCTCTACAATTTTCTCTGTCGCTTGGCTCCATGAATGGAGAGGCAATTCACAGCTAGGAAAACACCCTTGTGTATCTGGATCCCAATGGCTGCAGAGCAAGCTTGACAGCCTCAGTGGCATATTTCCCATGAAATAATTTTCCTTCAGGAGAAAAAGTATTCCCACCCCTGTGGTACTCAGACTCAGTGAAGAACATGGTGAGGGTAGGAGAATGTGACAGTTACCACATGGGGATTTTGAGGGCTAGGACCAGTGCTCCCGTACCCGGGTCCCCCACGTGGCCACAGAACTAAGCCCTCGCAGGTGGTCCTTTACATTTCCAGAGATATCCTCTGCATGCACAAGCAAATACAAGTGTATGTATTTTATTAAGACAAAATTAACATACAATATGTGCTATCTGGTTTTCTTTTTTCAATTAAAAGTATATCTTTAAAAGAAAAAGTATATCTTGAAGATCAGTAGATATTAGGTTGTTTACTGTCTTTTTATGTTTCAAAAACACTATATTTACTCCTAAGAACACACCCTTAAAATATGAGGCAAATATTTCCGGGAAGAAATAGATAGTTCCACGATAGAGACTCTACTACCCCACTTTCAATTATGAATAGAACCAGACAGAAGAAATATAAGGAAATAGCTTGAATAACACAATAAACCAATTAAATCTGAAAGACATACAGAACATTACTCAACAACAACAGTTAGCCCATTGCAGATTGAAAGGTCCCGGGTTCGATTCCAGTCAAGGACATGTACCTTGGTTGCAGGCACATCCCCAATAGGGGGTGTTCAGGAGGCAGCTGATGGATGTTTCTCTCTCATCGATGTTTCTAACTAACCTCCCTTCCTCTCTATAAAAAATCAATAAAATATATTTTTAAAAAAAGCAGTCCTGAAGAGATGTATAATTGGTAAAGGAACTGAATCAGTAATAAGAAGTCTCAACAAAGAGAAGCCCTGGACCTTATGGCTTCATTAGAATTCTACCAAACATTTAATGGAGAACACCAATCATTCCCAAACTTTTCCAAAATATCGGAGAACATTTCCTAATATAAAAAAAAGAACCATACAGACCTGTATCATGCCTATCAATGCAAAAATCCTCAACAAAATACTAGCAAAGGAAATTCACATCAAAGGATTATGCTCTGCCTGTGTGACTCAGTGGTTGAGCATTTACCTATGAAACAGGAGGTCACGAGTTCAATTCCCAATCAGGGAACAAGGCCAGATTTCAGGCTGGATCCCCAGTAGGGTGCATGCAGGAAGCAGCCGATCAATGATACTCATCATTGATGCTTCTAGCTCTCCCTCTCCCTTCCTCTCAGAAATCAACAAAAAGACATTGGAGAAAAATAAGAGGGATTATATACCATGACCTAGTGGGTTTATTCATAAGACTGCAAGGATGTTTAGAATGGAGGGAGAACACCCACATGGTTATCTCAATACAGAAAAAGTATTTGATAAAATTCAATAACCTTTATGACAAAAACACTTAAACTATCAATAAAAGAAAACTACCTCAACATAATGAAAGTATATGTGAAAAACACAGCAAGTCTCACACTCAGGATCAGGAGTAAGGCAAGGATGACAGCCTTTGCCACTTGAACTCAATATAGTACTGGAATTTCTATCCAATTAAGCAAGAAAAGGAAATAAAAGTTATTCAAATTGGAAAAGAAGTAAAATTATCTCTGTTCACAGATGATTTGTAAATAGAAAAACCTAAATATTCCACAAAAGACTGCTAGCACCAAAAAATTGAATTTAGCAAAGTAACAGGTCAGCACAAAAATCAGTTGCATCATTATACACCAACAAATATCTGAACAGGAAATTAAAACAATTACATTTATTATAATATCAAAGAGAAAAAAATTAGGAATTGACTAAGAAAGTGAAAGACTTGAGACAATGAAAACCAAAAAGGTTGCGGGTTTGATTTCTGGTCAAGGTGAGGATGCTATCCCCAGCCAGGGCATGTGTGGGAGGCTACTGATTGTTTACTCTTTCACATCAATGTTTCTCTCTCTCCCTTCTTCTCACTTTAAAATAAAGCATTTAAAAAAAGACAATGAAAACTACAAAATATTATTGAAATAAACAAAGAAATGAATGATGTTATTTATTATGGGAAAGACATATTCATGAACTGAAAGACAATAACAGAATATTGTTAAGATGTCAGTATTACCCAAATTCAATACAATCTATATTAAAATCCTAATGATGTATTTTGCAGAAATAGAAAAAACCACAACAATCTTGAAAAAGAAGAGCAAAGTTGGAGGATACACACTTCCTGATTTCAAAACTTATTATATTACAAAGCTAAAGTAACCAAAACAGTGTGGTATTGTCACAAAAACAAACTTATAAGTCAATGAAACAGAATAGAGAGAATAGAGGGATTAGCAATAAACCTTTCACATATGGCTAACTAATTTTTGACAAGAGTTCCAGGACCATTCAATCGGGAGAAGGCAGTCTTTTCAACAAATAGTACTGAGAAAACTGGGTATCTACATGCAAAAGAATAAAGTTGGAGCCTTAGCTAATACTCTATACAAATATTAACACAAAATGGATCAAAGATCTAAACATAAGAACACAACATAAAACTCATAGACGAAAATATAGGGGAAAAGCTTCACAATATTGAATTTGGCAATGATTTCTTGGATGTGATGCCAAAGGCACAGGCAATAAACAAAAAAACAGACAAATCGCAGTTTTATGAAAATAAGACTTTTTGACAATATTGCAGTTTTATACCTGTTAACTGCCTCCATCAAAAATTATTTTCTGAAAATTAGCCCTCAATAAAAAGATTTGAATAAGAACAAAGTTAAAAAAATTTAACAATAGATAAAATGCTAAAAGTGCTATTCTTCAATTTTTCAGAGCCCTCCAAGGGAATTGCTTAACTTAGGAATGATTATCTGTTGAAATGAAGAGGAGTGTCGATCAAGTTAAAACACCGGAATAAGTGGTGTAGGCAGGGTAAGTAAGGGACTCGGCACCAGAGAGGCCCAGCCGCTTCTGAATTTTGCCACGTGGCTATGCCGTTACCCTGGAGGCGCTGAGGGTGGTGGCGGTGGTGGAGAAACGACTAACGCCCGAAGGACTACATCTCCCAGAAGTCCGCGCGCCACGTGCCACGTGATCACCGGCTGCTGCGCGCCCCGCCGTTCGGTTCCCAGCGGCGTTCTCGGCCGCTTCCCTCTTCTCTCCCAGCCTCCGGGCCTCCGCACTGACGCGGCCCGGGCGGGAGCCGAGCCGGAGCCGGAGCCGGAGCCGCAGCCGCAGAGACGCGGAAACATGGAGGCCTGAACCTCTGCCATTCGCTGGACCGTGAGCTGTAAGCCGATCTCCCCGCCGGCTGAAAGGTGGGCTGGGAGGTCCGCCGCCCCCCTGCTCCTGGGCTGAGCGGATTAGGGACACCCCTTCCTCCCCCTCCTCCGGGCAGCGGCAGGAGCTGGGGGGCAGCGCCGCCCCGGAGGCGGAGAAGGGGCCCTTCCGGCCAGTGGGGACGGGCCCCCTGGAGAGGCTGTGCCCATGCCCCTCCCTCCGCTCCGGGTACCGTGGCGCTTAGGGGCGTGTAATCCCGGAGTGCGAGGGGTCTGGGTCCGAGGCTGGTGTTGGGAGTGAGGGTGGAGGGGATGGGGGGGTAGGGGGAAAGGAGGATACCAAAGAGCAGTTGGCCATACGGGAGACAAATGGGTGTGTGATGGGCAGGGCGGGCAATAGTGTTTACTTTTTCTTTTTTGACAAGTACATTTTTATGGAGGCGTAATGCACATGCCATAACATTCACTTTTAAAAGTACAGTTAAAGTATAACTCAGTGGGTTTTTTGTTTTGTTTCGTTTGTTTTTATAACATATTCAGAGGGGTGTGCAACAAATCCTAAACATCTTTATCACCCCAAAAGGAAACCCAATAGCAGTCACTCCTTCCCTCCCCCGTCCTTTGATTGTGTTTTAACTGAGGGTGAGAGTGGGAAGTCAGCTCACGTGTTTGGGAACCGGGGGCAGTAGTGGGGGTTGAGGGTAGTGGGGTGACAAAGCTGATAGGATGACAGTGCTGGAAAGAGGTAGGAAAGTCATAGGGCCAGCAAAGGGGCACACGGGATAGACTGACTATGGGGCAGTTGGAGTGGGATTCTTGAAGGGGAAGAAAGGAGATTGGAGGGAAAGGTGTGTGGGGAGAAGGCATGTGCTGAAAGATGTGAAAACATGGGGGGGTGAAGGGGTGCAGGGGGTGGAACAGCGGGTAACCTTACAGAGGAACAAGGCACTTGGGCCGATGAGTTGAGGGCTCAAGAGAGGAACAGAGCTAGAGAATTTATAGGAATTGGGTGATGGTTGCTGCCGAGCTTGAAATTTATAACTATAGATTTCTGGAGTGATTATTCTGCTCTGTAGTTTTTATCTTACAAATCCTCTCGGCAAACTCAGAGAGACTGGGCAACTATAAATGTTTCCATTCTGCAGATGCAGGCTTTTAGAGGTTAGGTGACTTGCTGAATCTGTTAAGGTTAGTCAATAAGGAAGAATGAGGTGGGGATTAAAGAATAATTGATGAAACTCTTTTGCAGGTGGATGAAATGGCAGAGAATTGAGGTGGGGCAATGTTACAGGAAGGCAATTCAGCTGTTAGATATGTTAAGAAGTCTATATTATTTGAATATAGACTTGTAACCTTTGAATATAGAGAAGTTCAAGCAGTGGAATAATATACCCTCATGTACCTATTCATCAACTCCAGCAGTTAGTAACTCAGGCTAACTTAGTTTTATCTGTACCCATATCCATTCATATCTCTACTCCCAACTATTTTAAAGAAGATCATGAGTATACCATTATGTTTGTAAATACTTGAGTATACTGTATATCTGTAGAATAGTGAGTCACTCTTTTTTTTTTTTTTTTTATTTGTATTTATTTCATTGAAGAAGAGAGAGGGAAAGATAGAAACATCAATGATGAAAGAGAATCGTTGATTGGCTATCTCCTGCACATTTCCAGCTGGGGCTCATGTGCCCTGATCAGGAATTGAACCATGATCTCCTAGTTCATAGGTTGACGCTCAACCACTGAGCAACACTGGCCAGGCCACTCTCTTTTTAATAGACCCACAATACCATTATCACACCTAAACATTAATAGTAAGCTCTTAATATCAATATCTAGGACTTATTTTTTAAATGTGGTATTTGTTTTCTACAAGGGAATAAGCAGTGCAAACATTTCAATGTTAGACGCTAAAAAATAGAATTTATTGTTTTCCTTTTTGTTTTTAATCCTCACCTGAGGATATTTTTCCATTGGTTTTTAGAGAATGGGAAAGAGAGGGAAAGACAGAGAGAAATATTGATGTAAGAAAAACACATGGATTGGTTGCCTCCTGCACATATCCCAACCAGGGTCTGGGCGGGGGAGGAGCCTGAAACCAAAGTACATGCCCTTGATTGGAACCCAGGACCCTTTGGTCCACAGGCCAACACTCGATCCACTTCTGCCCAAACCAGCTAGGGCAGAAATGCAGACACCAGGCTGGTTGGGAGGAAGGGCAGTATAGGCAAAATAGGTGAAGGTGTTCAAAAGGTAGAAACTTCCAGTTATAAGATAACTCGGTCCTCTGAATGGGATGTATAGCATGGTGACTATTGTCAGTAACACTATATTGTATCCAAGGCACATGCCCATGGCTGGAATTGGACCCAGAACCCTTCAGTCCATGGGATAATGCTCTGTACACTGAGCCAAACCAGCCAGGGCTGTTGTTGTGTTTTTTAAAAATATATTTTTATTGATTTCAGAGAGGAAAGGAGAAGGGAGAGAGAGCTAGAAACATCAATAATGATAGAGAATCATTGATTGGCTGCCTCCTGCACACCCCTCACTGGGGAATGGAGCCTGTAATCCGGGCATGTGCCTGACCGGCAATTGAACCGTGATCTCCTGATTCATAGGTTGATGCTCAACCACCGGGCCACCATGGCTGGGCTCTTTCCAGTTTCTTATTCTGTCATCCCTAGGGTGTGGCCCTTGGTTCTGGGTCCAGGATGGCTGCTGGTGGTCTTGCTAGTATCCAAGCAGCAGGCTGGAGGAAGGGACAGAGAAGTGGCTGCACACTCTTAAAGGAAGTTCTGTGTAATTCAGTGATAACCAATACTTAGTCATATGATCTTTCTGGCTGCAAGAGAGGTTGGGAAATGTATCTTAGCTGGACGGGAATGTGCTTGGCCAAAAATAGGAGTTGTTACTATAAGGGAGGAAGATCTGGAGATTGAGGTAGGCAATTGGTGTTTCTACCATACTTCGTAGTTAGTTTCTCTGTGAACTCCAGAATAACCTACACACTTCCCAGATTTCTAGGTTTGAATCCTAGTTGTGTTATTTATGTGCTTTGGTGTGTTACTCAATCTTTTTAAGCTTTAGCATTCTCAACTGTAAAATAGAGCTAATATTTACTTTAGAGACTTATTAGCGTTAAATGAAAATATTTCTTATGTATCTGGCAACATATACACTCTAAGAACTATTGATAGTTTTTCCTTCTCCTCCCTCAGGTTTCTGGACTTGGATGTCTAAATGAGTAGGGTGGAAAAGAGAAATTGGAGATGGATAGGGGAGGATACAAAGTTTAGTATGGGCCCATGGTCACCCAGAGGATGATGTATAGCAGGCAGGCAGATAAATGGTATGTCACCCGCAGGACAGTTCTGGACTGGTCATGGATATTTTGAAATCATCAGTGTATACGGGGAGAGTTCACTGAGCTAGAAGACTCAGCGATGGATACAGTTTTAGAGTTACAGTGGCAGGCAGAAGACATGTCCTTGATTATGTCTCCCCATAACGAATACATGAGGCAGCAGCTTGCTTTCTGGCCTTGTTTGCTTCACTTTGATTCCCTCCCACTCCAGCCATGTTGAACTTTTTTTTTTTTTTTTTAAATATATTTTATTGGTTTTTTACAGAGAGGAAGGGAGAGGGATAGAGTTAGAAACATCGATGAGAGAGAAACATCGACTAGCTGCCTCCTGCACACCCCCTACTGGGGATGTGCCCGCAACCAATGTACATGCCCTTGATCGGAATCGAACCTGGGACTTTCAGTCTGCAGGCTGACGCTCTATCCACTGAGCCAAACAGGTTTTGGCAGCTGTTTCTGTCTGTTTTTTGTTTTTTTGTGTGTTTTTTTAAAAATATATTTTATTGATTTTTCACAGAGAGGAAGGGAGAGAGATAGAGAGCTAGAAACGTCAATGAAAGAGAAACATCGACCAGCTGCCTCTTGCACACCCTCTACCGGGGATGTGCCCGCAACCAACGTACATGCCCTTGACTGGAATCGAACCTGGGACCTTTCAGTCTGCAGACCGACGCTCTACTGCTGAGCCAAACCGGTTTTGGCAGCTGTTTCTGTCTTAACCCTAGGCCAGTGGTCGGCAAACCTTGGCTCGCGAGCCACATACAGCTCTTTGGCCCCTTGAGTGTGGCTCAGCTTTAGAACCACTTCTTCAAAATAGACTCGCCCAGGCTAAAAACCGACTTCTGCGCATGGGCCACGAAGTTTCAATTGCGTGTGGTATTTTGTGGAAGAGCCACACTCGTGAGCCACGGTTTGCCCATCACTGCCCTAGGCCTTGACACATGCTGTTCTCTTCACTTTGAAAATTTTCTGAACTTCCTAATCAAGACAGTCCTTACCTTTCAGGTCTCAGCTTTTATGGCATGACTCCTGGGAAGCTCTAAGTCTTGAATGGTTGCCATATTATCATTTCATGTCCGCTTATCTGTTTCTCTTCCTCAACTATAAATAAATTCTACTCCCAGTTTTAACGTTGGCACTTAGCATTGTGCTGGCCACATAGAGGGCACTCAGGAAATATCAACAGACTCCTGGTACTTACATTACCATAATATGATGTCTCTTCAGGAGTGCTAGTTTGTTTTGCAACCCTGCACTGTTCTCTTAGTGTTTGCACATTGAGTTGTTTATATGAATCAGTGATTGTGAAATAGTAAAGCACATTCTCCCTAATTTATTTAAAAGTTAACTTTTCTACTTAAAGTAATACTTGCATATTGAGGTAATACTAGAAGGTATATTATAAAAAAAACAGCAGCATTCTTTCTTTGTCTGCTTTTAACTGTATTTATAGTTGTCTAAATGTCTATTTTGTGGTCTATCAATTTTATTTTTTTATTTTTTTTTTAATATATTTTATTGATTTTTCACAGAGAGGAAGAGAGGGATTGAGAGTTAGAAACATCGATGAGAGAGAATCATTGATCAGCTGCCTCTTGCACACCCCCTACTGGGGATGTGCCCACAACCAAGGTACATGCCCTCAACCGGAATCGAACCCGGGACTTTTCAGTCCGCAGGCCAACGCTCTATCCACTGAGTCAAACCGGTCCCGGCGTGATCTATCAATTTTAGATAATACCCATTGATTCCTTGTTATGATAAATGCGAGCTTGACCTCCTCCTTTCCCCACTTCTGGGCTTTCCAGTACAGATATCTAAATATATAAAAGCCTAAGTGACCATTAGGACCTGTCGATCAAATGATCAGGCGACCAGTCGCTGTGATGTGCACTGACCACGAGGGGGCAGGCGTTCAATGCAGGAGCTGACCCCTGGTGGTCAGTGCGCTCACACAGCCAATCTCCTTCAGTCTCTCCCCTTGACTGGCTGGCCTTGATTGGCCCCAATTGGTACTGGGCGAGACAGGCCCGTTCAGCCCCAAAGGTACCCCACCCATGCATGAATTCGTGCACTGGGCCTCTAGTATAGATATATAGAAATTCTTGATTAAGTTAGTGTTTACATTATTTTGACCACATCAATATTGCTTACTGCTGAGTTGGGTAATTTACCTTGTTTCCCTGCCCACCTGTCCCCACCATTTGCTTATTTTTCCACACACATATTACTAACTTTTACCAAACGCTTTGAAAGACCCGTGGGGATTGGGCTGCAGGAAACTAGTGCAGGGTGTTACTCTGGCTACCGCTGTTGCTGTGCGGGATGAGTTGTTTTTGTCTGTGTCCCAGAAGCTTCAGGCCTTTGTTTCTTTGTTATTGGCATGCTGGTAAGGTAAGGGAAATCTCAGGCCCTTCACAGGTTCTGACTTACCAGGAATATCCCTCTGCTATCGTTTTAGAACTCCTGTAATTGTTAAGACATTCTAAATGGATCTTCTAATTTTCAGTCTCCTGTTTTCCATCTACCGTATTTTTCGGACTATAAGACACACTTTTTTCCCCCCAGAAGTGGGGGGGAAAAGTCCCTGCGTCTTGTGGTCCAAATATAGCCTACACATATACTTTAAAAAAAAAGTTTTTTTACTTGCCCGGCTCTGTGTGGTCTCTGTGTGCTTGCCCGGCTCTAAAATGGTTCTAAATGCTGCTGTTTACTTTACAGGGTTGATTACATGTGTTTATGACTGTGATGTTGGGTTTTAATGCACATAAAATATTTTAGGACACTATTTGTTTCAGAATCTTTTTTTCTTCATTTCCCTTCTCTAAAAACTGGTGCGTCTTATGGTCCGGAGCGTCTTATGATCCGAAAAATACGGTATTTGTCTTCTTTTTAAAATTTATTATGGGAGTTTTCTTGGCCTCCTTTTTATTGAAAATTTTATGGTATTTTTAATTTCAAGTGTCATTTCTTTTAAAAAATATTTTTATTGATTGCAGAGAGAAGAAGGGAGAGAGAAAGAGATAGAAACATCAGTGATGAGAGAATCATTGATTGGCTGCCTCCTGCACGCCCCACACTGGGGTTCTAGCCTGCAACCTGGGCACGTGCCCTGACCAGGAATTGAACTGTGACCTCTTGGTTCATATGTTTACCCTCAACCACTGAGCCATCGTGGCTGGGCTGTGAATGCTTTTTAGAAAAACTAGGTGACTGTGTCCTACCCTGACATTCTGAATTTTTTGAGGCCCAGACATATGTATTTTTAACCACATGCTTCTCAGGTGTTTTTTATTATATGTAGATTTAAGTTTGAGAGCCACTCGTTTGGACGGTGGTTGGAAAGTGACCTTTCAGACTGTGGAGGGTCTTGAATGTCAGTCATTATTCTGTTTTTCAGATAATTGAAGCATCATTGAATGTTTTTGAGCTGCTGAGTGAAATGACGAAAGTGGTTATTTTACTAATATTAAAAATAAATTATATTTGTTCTTTTATTTGGCTAAGTATACACTGTGCCAGGTTGTTGTTTTTTAATCCTTATCTGAGGACATGCTTAGAGGAAGGGAAAGAGAGAGATAAAGATATAGAGAAAAGCACCGATCTGAGAGCAAAGCATTGATTAGTTGTCTTCTGTATTCACGTTGGCTGGGGACCAAACCTGTAACCCAATGTGTCTTGACCGGGAATTGAACCCAAGACCCTTTGGTGCATGAGCTGACACACTAACCACTTAGCCACACCAGTCAGGACTGAGTACATTGTATGGCTCATCTTGCTTCATTCTAGAATATCTTACGAGTTGTTAGTACTGTTGTTTTTCCCATTATGCAGTGAGGTTTTATAAGTTGTAAAATGGAGATTCACACTGATTCTTATGCAGACTTAACAAAATCTAGCTCACACTAGAACCTTTCTTCATTGCAGTGCTGGACTGAATTTCCTGTTTCTTTTAAGGACTAATGCGGTAGTGGAGTGCTCACAGTGAGTCCGAGTGGAAAGATTGGAAGTAAAGACACCTGGATATTGTTGCACTAAGTCATGTGAGATTATAGAAGCCTGGTCTGGCATGGAGGCAGTGAGAATGTAAAGGAAGAGATGGATTTAAAAGACGGTATGTAGCATTGGGGATGTTGTAGAAGAACCCAAAGGACTTATTGATGTCATTGGAGAGTCACCCTATTAGAGTGCTAAAGACCAGGGATTCTGCAATGAGATTCCCTGTGTTCAAATCCTGGCTTTGCCACTTATTACCTGTTGGCCTTGAGGAAGTTCCTTAATCCTTCTGTCCCTTAGTTTCCACATCTGTAAAGTGAGGAAATTAGGACCACCTCTTAGAGTTGTTCACAGGGACGACATGAAGCAGGAATTATAAAGCACTTAGCCTAGTTTCTGACACAGATCGCGCTGACTAATAGCACCGCTGCACACACTGTTCCCTCTGTCTCAGCTGCTCCTGTGTGTTCATAGCTTTTTGTGTATAAATAACTCCATTGTGATACATACCACACGTGTTAAACAGGCTTTGGGTTCATGAATGGCAAGGAACTTGGTCTTATTCACTTGTACATTTTCTGTTTCCAGCATAACACCTGACATTTATAGGAAGTGTGTAATAGGTAATTATGGAATGAATGGTTGGTTATGTGAGTGAGAATTTGAGGCAAAAAGATTTGGAGGGGTTGTTTATTTTGGGGGGCAGTGTTAAAATCTGTTTTAAAAATTATGATGATGTTAAGACATCAAATGGAAATGGCCATTAAGTAAAGATTTATGCTTGGATTTTGGCTGAGAAGTCAGGATAAAATATTAGTTCTGGGGTCACTCACATAGAGGTTAAAACAAAAGCCAGAAGCATACTCAGATCTTTCTGGAAGGAGAGAAGGTAAAGAGAGTACAGTCCATTTAACAACTCTCTCTCTCTCTCTCTCTCTCTCTCTCTCTCTCTCTCTCTCTATATATATATATATATATATATATATATATACTTTAAATTATCATTTAAGAACAATCTACCTCAGAAGTTATGTCATATATACTATAGAAAAATCACATTTCAGGGTAGTTTTTACATAATGGGAACTTGAGGGAGTACTGGAAGTTGAGAGGACAAACTGATTTTGAGAGGGAGGATGGAATCAGTTTTGTGCACACATGTTCTTGACTACATTGCATTAAAATAGGGTCCTTTGAATCCCCGGCTGCGTAGCTCAGTTGGTTAGAGTGTGTACACTGTGGTCAGGGCACATGCAAGAGTCAACCAGTGGGTACATAGGTAAGTGGAACAACAAATTGATGTTTCTCTCATCTCTCTGCTCCCTTGCTTCCTTCCTCTCTCTCTAAAATCAATAAATAGCCGGGACCGGTTTGGCTCAGTGGATAGAGCGTTGGCCTGCGGACTGAAAGGTCCCGGGTTCGATTCCGGTCAAGGGCATGTACCTTGGTTGTGGGCACATCCCCAGTGGGGGGTGTGCAGGAGGCAGCTGGTCGATGTTTCTCTCTCATCGACGTTTCTAACTCTCTGTCCCTCTCAATTCCTCTCTGTGTAAAATCAATAAAAATATATTTTAAAAAAATATATAAAATCAATAAATAAAAATTTAGAAAAACCGATCCTTTGAAAGGTTTACTTGTAATGGCATAAGCCGTAGCATGCTTCTTGTTTTTAGTATAGACTTATATGAGGGGCATTGTTATCTACAGAATTACTGTTTATATGTTGCACATGTAATTAAAATACATTATCCTTGAGTTTAAAAAAATCTTCAGAATTTTAGTGATGTAAGTAGAACTGGCATTCCGGTCAGAGGTTGGGACTAGGAGAGGGAAGCCACTAGTGAAACCAGGAGAAAGGCGCAATTATTGATATAAGCAGAGGACTAAGAGCTAAGAGCCAAGGAAGTCTTGAGGCACAGCAAGAGGGAAAGCAGTAGGACTCTTAGGAGGTGAGCTGATTGGATACAGGGTTTTTCAAGTTCCATTTTATTCTTGTTTTCATAGGTAAGAAAATACAGTAAATTGGGGCCAGGTCGTGTGTGTGTGTGTGTGTGTGTGTGTGCGCGCGCGTGTGTGTGTGTGTGCGCGCGCTTGTGTGTGTGTGTGTGTGTGTGTGTGTGTGTGTAAGCTTGGTATGATCCATGGCAGAAGAGATGCCGTTGGACCTGGGTTTGCTGCCTTCTTTCTGTGAGGGTGAACTTTCTGACAGGAATACTCCAGTGGCTAGTCTTTGTGTGTTTATCACTTCAGCTGCCTCGGGCACTGCCTTCATCTGCTCAGCAGATAGTATCTTTGTTGCTGCCTGGGGCGTGAGGTATGCCCATTCTAAGATCTACAAGTACACATTCTGATTTTTGTATTTGTGTTGGTTAAGACAGATATTAGCTCCATTTTTCTCCTTGTAACTTTGTATCTGATGTCTCATACATTTAAAAATAAAAAAAAGGTGTGATTTCTTTTAGTAAGTTTACAGTTTTTTTTTTACATTTACGTCAAGGGTATGGAAAAGTTTGAGGATTATTTTGAATAAGTTTGAAATTTCTTTATCTTTTTCTAGGTTGTCTTGCGGAAATGAAGGTTTAAGGACAACCTGTCTACCAGATTAGAAGATGGGATCAAACAGCAGCAGGATTGGTGATCTTCCTAAAAATGAGTACTTAAAAAAGTTATCAGGCACAGAATTTGTCTCTGAGAATGACCCGTTCTGGAATCAGCTTCTCTCATTTTCTTTCCCTGCACCAACCAGCAGGTAAGAGATCACTTGGAGATTAAAATACGTATAGAGGGCCACATACATTTGTGTGCTAGGTTCAGTTAAAAAATTGTTTTTAAATGTTTCTTCGTCCATTTATCCATCCATCCATTATCTGCCTGTTTATCATACATGTACCAATAGACAATCCAAAAGGTAGGAAATTAGGAAGTAAGTTTTCTTTTCTTCCACTCAATCCCCTCCCTTTCCCAGAGATGATTCCTGGTGGAATTTTTAATTTTTATTTTTTTAATTTTTATTTTATTTTACTGATTTTGTACAGAGAGGAAGGGAGAGAGAGAGAGTTAGAAACATCGATGAGAGAGAAACATAGATCAGCTGCCTCTTGCACACTCCCTACTGGGGATGTGCCCACAACCAAGGTACATGCCCTTGACCGGAATCGAACCCGGGACCCTTCAGTCCCCAAGCCGACGCTCTATCCATTGAGCCAAACCGGTTTCGGCAAGAATTTTTTTTTTAATCCTTCTAAAGATAGTACAAGGTTATTTAAGCATATATCTCAGGTAGTTTTGTAAAATTATATAAACACAGAGTTAGCATACTTCACATACCTTGCTTTTTCTTTTTTCCTTGCTATCTCTGGTATTTTCTTCCCAATTAATTAAAATATATCTAAGCATATATTTCTTTTAAATGTCTGCAGAATATTTATAGAATATAATGAGTTTTCTCTTGGTGGACATTTAGATTGTTTCCAATCTTTTGCTATCACAAATAATGCTACATACATTATTTCTCATGCATACAAATATATCTCTAGTTTAGAAAGTAAACATGCTGGGTCAAACTGCATATGCAGTTGTAACCTTGGTAGATATTGCCAAACTGTGCTCCATGGAAGTTGTGCCAATTTAAACTACTGCCAGCAGTGTGAGAAGGTATATTTCCGCACACCTTTGTCAATTTAATGCAGTTTTAGACTTTTTGACCTTTGTTAATCTGATAGGTGGAAACCAATATTTCACTTTTAAACTGACTCCTGAGCCAGAGAAATAGGCGAGGACTGGTCCAGGTAGGGAACAACATAAGGAAAGCCCAGTGGTGAGGAATAACATGTCAGGTGTGTGAAACTAAAGAGGAGTGGTGAGGGAGGAGGTTTGGAAGATTTTTGGGGGTTCTGGTGGAAAGTATTAATGAGTTTTGATTTTTGTCCTAATATCAGTATAAACCATGGAAAGATTTTCATCAGAAAGGGCATGATCAGATTTTCATTTCTAAAAAATATTCCAATTTCATAATATTGTGGTGATTACTCTTCTTCAGCAGAACTTATTACTTCCTGACTAAACAGTTTTTGTTTTGTTTTATAAAATAATTCATTTATAAGATATATTCAAATTCCAGCCATATTCTAGATATGTAAATAAAAAGTGGATACATGGATACTGTGTGAGATAGGCTGATTTCAGGATTCTGGAAAATATTTTGGAGGCGTTGCAATATGAACAGAGGCCCAAAGAAGGTGGATGATTTAGAAGCAGAGCAACCAAGAAGGGGAATCCTGACATTTTAATTTAATTTAATTTATTTTATTTTTTATTTTATTTTATTTTATTTATTTTAATTTAATTTAATTTTAGTTAATTCTTACCCAAGGATATTTTCCCATTGATTTTTAGAAAGAGTGGAAGAGAGGAAGGAGGGGGGAGAAAAAGGAGAAAGAGACAGAAACATTGAAGTGAGAGAGAAACATCTATTGGCTGCTTCCCACACGCACCGTGACCAAGGCCAGGGATGGAGCCGCTAACAGAGGTATGTGCCCTTGACTGGAATAGAATCTGTGACTTTTCAGTTCACTTATCTACTGAGTCAAACCAGCTAGGGCAGAATCCTGACATTTATTTATTTTTTATAATATATTTTTATTGATTTTTTTACAGAGAGGAAGAGAGAGGGATAGAAAGCTAGAGACATCGATGGGAGAAATCATTGATCAGCTGCCTCTTGCACACCCCCCACTGGGGATGTGCCCGCAGCCAATGTACATGCCCTTGACCAAAATCGAACCTGGGACCTTTCAGTTCGCAGGCTGACGCTCCATCCACTGAGCCAAACCAGTTTCGGCATTCCTGACATTTTTTAAAAGAGCTTGGACAAAGGCATTGAGGCATAACATAGTTCTGTGTGTGGGTGTGGACCAGTGGGATACTAGCCTGCCTGAAGGAAAGAGCTGATCACAGGGGCCTGTCCTGTGGGCTAGAGCCCACCCTAGCATTGGCAGATGATAAGAAAAGATGGGAGAGCCTTGATGTCTGTAGATGGAATTTAATAAATTATAATTTTATTTATTTTTGTATGAAAAAGATAATGCATTCTTCTGGATCAAAATTCAAAGATTGAAAGGATATAAAACTGGGAGTCTCCTTCTTCTGTCCTCACACATGCTTAGTTCTCTCTCCCAGAGGCAACAGATGTTATCACTTTTCTTAAAGTCCTTTTTAAAGATGTTTCATGCTGTTTTAGTCCATGGGGACTACTTTAACAAAATACCACTGACTAGGTAGCTTACAGCAAGAATTTATTGCTCAGGGTTCTGGAGGCAGGAAGTCTGAGCTCTCAGCACCAGCATGGTTGGGCAGTGACCCTCCTCTGGTTCACAGACCGCACATTCTCTCTGCCCCACAGCGGAGGGAGCCAGCCAGCTTCTGGGGCCTTTCTAATAATAAAAGGCCCTAATCCCATTCATGAGGATTCCCCCTTCATGACCCAATCACCCTCAAAGACCCACCTACTAATACTTGTGCAATTCAATATACTTGTGCCTGTAGGGGTTAGGATTTCAACATACGAATTTTGGGGAGACATAAACAATCAGACCATAGCACATGCATCCCCTTAGTTTTAGACTAATAATAGCACCCACTTCTGTTCTTTGTGCTTTTTTTCAATGACTATATTTTAGAGAGCCTTCTCTATATTAGCTTCCACATTATTTTGATGGGGCATTGCATGTCATAACTGAATATACCAAAATTAATGTAGCAATATACTTTTACCATTTGAATTGCTTCTAGTACTTTGTTATTACAGATAATACATCAATGAATAATCTTATATGTACAAGTAGAAGTGATTCTTGTGCTGTGAATTAAGTACGACCAAAAAACTTCCATTAATTTTTCCAGTTTATGTTAGGAGGACAGGATAAACAATGTAATATAATAGGTTGGGAACATATTTTAGGGAGTAATGCAAGCACTTCCCAACATATGGGGGGGTGGGCAAAAGTTGGTTTACAGTTAGAATACAATAATCCTATATAATATAAGCCTAATACGCAAATTGTTCCCTAGACCAGGAGTTTGACAGCTTGCTATGACGGCGCGCTGATCACCAGGGGGCAGTGCTGGCAGTGGAGTCGCTGCGGCGCTTTGATCACCTGCCAGGCCTAGGGACCACACCTGTGCATGAATTTTGTGCACTGGACCTCTAGTCCAGCGTTTTTCAACCGCTGTTCCGCGGCACACTATGTTGCCTGGTGTGCCGTAGGTGCAGACAAGACAAGAATTTTACAATTTTTCACTATTTTGTTTACTTAATATTTCATAATAAAGTAATTATAAAATACTTTCTTTGTGTTTATTTGATTCCTATTCAAGAGAATTACTTTATATATAGTCAATATAGGCACAGAGTTAAATTTTTTAACATTTTCTAATGGTGGTGTGCCTCGTGATTTTTTTCATGAAACAAGTGTGCCTTTGCCCAAAAAAGGTTGAAAAACACTGCTGTAGTCTATATAAAGCCTAAGCAACCGAACAACCTGTCAACCAGTCCTGACACTCACTGACCACCAGGGGGCAGGGGCAGATGTTCAATGAAAGAGCTGCCCCCTAGTGGTCAGTGTGTTCCCACAGAAGTAGCATCGCCCAGCTGACCCACAAGCTCCAGATGCAGGGCTCATAGCTGTTGAGTGTCACTGCAGAGATGCCAGCCTCTCCTGAATGGACTGGGTGCGAGCCTGTGGCAGGTGCAGCAGGCCAGGATGAGTGGGAGCTGCAGGTGGGAGTGGCAGATGGTGTGGACTCCAGTTTTGGCCCAATTGCTGCAGGTCATGCTGAGGGACCCCACCGGTGCATGAATCTGTGCACCAGTCCTCTAGTTAGTAATAATACAGGAACAGCCGAAACCGGTTTGGCTCAGTGGATAGAACGTCAGTCTGCGTACTGAAGGATCCCAGGTTCAATTCCGGTCAAGGGCATGTACATTGGTTGCAGGCATATCCCCTGTAGGGGATGTGAAGAAGGCAGCTGATCGATGTCTCTCTCATCGATGTTTCTAACTCTCTGTCCCTCTCCCTTCCTCTCTGTAAAAGATCAATAAAATATATTTAAAAATAATAATAATACAGGAATAAACTGTGTTTTGCATAATCACAACCGTAAGCCTACTTTTGTTAACCCCTGCTTTTCATGATGTTTCAGGGTAAACTGATGAGGCTGCTCTAGTGGCCTGGAGGCTCTGAAGGGGGTGGGGATTGGGAACATCAAAATCTGTCCATCTATTGTCCATTTTTTGGCACGCCTGTTAGAAAGCTGAGGATTAGAATTCTGACCCCTGATAGGTTGTTGTTGAATGGATTTGGGGAAAGTATTGTTTTAGGGAGGTTGCTTTGATTGATTGGAAAGAGCAGGAAGGAAGAGAAAGTAGGTCAAGAAAACCAAATGTGAGGCAGTAGTAGTTAAGTAACCACCATGTGATGAAGGCTGAAGTTCTGTGCCTAAGCAGGAAACGGAAGTTCTACATCCTGGTGAAACTGTTGTATCCATTTAGTAGAACTTTATATAGAAAAATAGATTTTAAAAGTTTTTGTTTTAGATTGATTTGAGCATTAATATTTTTTTAAAAGAATTTATTGGGGTGACATTGGTTAATAAAATTATACAGGTTTGAGGAATACAGTTCTGTAATACATCATCAGTATATTGTATTGAGTGTTTACCATACCAAGTCAAGTCTCCTACCCTGTTTCC